CACCCATTTTTCAGCTCCGTGTTCCCCTTGTGCGACTTCGGTAGAGACGGGTGTGGCCTGTCGCAACGTCCTAGCATGGGTACGTCGCCTGAATATTTTCTGGTGTCTGCTCTAAGCGGCGGACGTTCTTTCCCTGTCTCATAATCCGTACATTTTTTCACGTGGCGATGGACACTCCAGAATAGCCAACGTCAGGTGAAAGTACGTTCATAATCGCTGGTACGTCCACCTGACGCACTCCTTCCAGACTAGCGTGATAAAGATGCAAAATATTTCTTACAGATTTTCCTGAACGACGTGCTTCCCGGCCAGATCACGCTCTTCGCCGAATTTCCTCGCGTGTGGACAGTAAAAGAACAACCAGCCCTCCTCAACGGCGTAGTCATTGGTGTGATAATTATCAATCAGCCCAAAAGCCCTCAAGAAATTGAAATGTGTGCTTGTTGAGGGTTTGTGCTGCCTCGCTATTGTCGTGAAGGTGTTTAACGTATACTTGAATCACTGAAATGCTGGTCTAAAAATTGTTTCTAGCGGTCAATGGAGCCAGACTTGAGGTTAGCATTCCCTGACGCACTTGACAACAGTATAATCACAGAAGTCACCATCTTCTTCTGAGACATGTGATGTGGAGTCGATGACAACGACGCGGAACTGAATGAGGACACTAAAGGGCGCTAGGATATTATGGTTGCGGCGTTTTTGAACAAGCGAGTCATCTGTTCCTTCTGACGCTCTCCGAAGTTCAACCAAGACACAGTATAGCGAGTCGCTATTGGGCGCTTACCAAACTTGCTGATGTAGGCAACATATCGAAGACCAAAAGCCACATCAAAATATTAAAGTCGAACAGGTAGTAGGATGATGGTAGACAGTATGACAATGGTATCCGACCAGATGGCATATTCCGATTAAATACGCTTGACAAACACAAAACTCAAAACAATTTTTGACAGTTGCACGCAGGGCTGTGGAAATATAGATTGTATATTGATTGTAGGCTCTGATCTCAAACAACCCATTATTGCAATCTTTAACAATCGAGGTGTATATTGCAATATATTGTTTTGATCTACACTCCACCTGCTAATAGATTGCATAATCGCTTTAGATACGCCCACAAGCGTGACTAAATCCCAGTTGAGTTTTAAAAACATGATGACTTCTAGAGTATCTTGACTCATGCCTTTGCGCAAGCAGCCCACAGTGCTCTTGACTTTAGAAAAAAAGGCGTTCCGCAGCTACCGACGTAGGTTGAATCCAACTCGCGTCGATAAATTTTGACTGTGGTCCACAGCGCTTGAGAACATTCTTACTAATCATCTCATCGAGCACATCGGCAGCACGTTTACGCTCTGACAGCGTTATGGTCGCGGTGGAAGGTGTTGTTTGAGAGTCAGCTTGCGAGGTGACTAGGAGACTTAACGCCTTTTTTCATTTTGAAAGCAGCGATATTTCGCTACTCGCACACAGACAGAATTATATCCACTATCGCAACTCAGCGAATATCTTCTGGGCCAACATCTACCGGGATATCTCGATCCACCCCGCGTCTCTGAAAAGATGTAAAAAAGGGCGATAGTCCTCAAATCGCAGTAGAATTTTGTAACAATCGCTCCAGCGGAGCTCGTGCAGTAGTACGGGCTTGAGATCACAGCCGTTTTGTTTCAGCTTGCCGATCTGCTGCGTTCTTCGTGTCGTGTGGGCTGCTCGTGACTGGTCGGCGGTGCTGGGGCAAATTTGAAAATGACGTGGCTGATGTGGACCCGCCTTACATCTCTGTATTGCGCCAATGATGAAATTGGCGCCAGTGTAAGCTGCGGAACTTCCTGTGAGCTCGGTTTGAGCTGTCTGGTTGGTGGAACGATATATTAGCGGGTTCTATTGGCTCCGGTAACGCGCGAAATTAGATCAATATTGAGATTGGGATTGTAGATTGTTATGTCGACACAATCAATTATTGTGATTGACAATGTTGTCAATACTACAATCACAATCATTTTTTCCACAGCCCTGAGTTGCACGATCAGAGGTATCGACGCTGGTTCATATCAGGCAATATATTGAGACAAAAATCACGTTTAAATAAGCTATCAACTAGGTAAGGTTCGGCAAAATGCGAGCAATGTAATTTTGGCAGGGGCCCATTAGCAACACGGACGCGGAAATCAATCGCAAACCTTACCGACGAAGAAGTAAGTAAATATTAAGATGATGTCGTCGGGGCTTAACAACTAACAGTCAACTATTATTAGATCACACATTCGCGTGAGTGAATTTCATAACCATCATTGTGGGGCCTGTGTATTAAGTAGTTTATCGCCCCCGCGGTCCGGACCGGGACCGATTACGCATGTGCATAGCAGGCGAATTAAGTAAAGTTATAACCCGTGTGTAGGGTAGAATAACCAGTTATCAGTCTGTCTGGTCTTTTGTGTTATGATTGGCTAATGCCAATGTTGGAGCCGGCCAGCCCTCTATCGGCCATTCCCAGGCGAGAGAAGAAGAGTGATAGCGTAGCAATCCAGATACAGATCATGGCGACAGACGCAAGGATGTCTGTGGAGATGCAGGAGTCTATACAGAGGACGTACGCAAAGGCAAAGGAGTTAAGAACCAAGAATACAACCCGATCCTACGGCAAGCGTCAGCAGGAGTTTTTCGAGTGGTGCACAAACAAGGGTAACTCATTTAACGACTTGACTCGTTCCACTGTGACGGGTGAAAAACTACATCTCTTCCTGGAAGAATGCGTCATTGGTAGACGTAAGCGCCAGAAAAGTGCTACGAAACAAACGGATAGGGTGGAGACGATTGGCCGCGCATCTGTTAATCTTTACGTTGCAGCCATGGTTGATTTGTGGAAACAACAAGTCCAGGCCGGAATCAATGGTTATCCTTCACCACGTAACGCTGCAGTGACATCGTTGCTCGAACTGACCCAGTTTGAAGAAGCCGAGAGCAAACGAAAAAAATTTGAGGACCGAGGAGCTG